TCCTGTATAGATAATTTCATTCTTGTCAGTCATAGGTTACAGTTGTTATATCTTTTAGTTGCAGTTCTATTTATTTGTTGTGAAAGGGAGTGAATTTAGGTGAGTGATTTGGTGAATCAGTTATTATTAGAAAATTTTCCCAGGTGAGAATTTAAAGTAAATTATTCTGTTTGAAAACATTAATATTTTTCACATATTATTGCACACGAAGGCACTATATAATACTATTTATTTTCGATTTTTAAATTGTAAATTATTCTTTTTTCCTTTCTATATATAATTCCTAAATTTTATCAGTTTGATGAAATTATGGTTTATGGTTTGAGTTTGAGTTTGATAAAATGTCTTTTTTTTCTATAAATATTTTTAAAACTACCGTAGAAAAAAAATTGAATAATATCTAGATACTCAAACATATTACGTGTTGCATATTTGCCCTAAGATCGCGTTCTAGAACATGGGACCTTCATTTTGGCTTTGTTAGGCTTCGCGCATGCATTTTGTATCTAGCCAGATATCAGGACTTGCAATATTGATTAATAACTTCGGTCTATTTATAATCTAGCTTGTTCCGGGTCCGCGCATGCCCTATAGGTATCCTGAAGGGTCCTGGATAGTGCATTTCAATCTTGTCAGTCGTAGACTTTTATCGTGTCATTCGTAAATTTTTTGAGAATACACTCTTCTTTATTTCTTTTTTAACAGAAAGTTTTAATATTTCTTGATTTGAAGTGAGAAAGTGCGTTTTAATGAATAATTTACCCGGGTGTGAATTTCGGAAGAATTATTCTTCTTTCTAAAGGGGAATTATATATTCTTCAATTTTATCAGGTTGGTAAAATTTGTTTGTAAAACTTGTTTCTGTAAATATCTTTAAAGTTATTACTATATTTACTCTTAGTACTATATTTATAATCTAACCTTTACCGGTACGGCGCATGCCCTACAGGTATCCCGATATATCCTGGATACATCATTTCATTTTTGTCAGTCATAGGTTGCAGTCGTGTCAATTGTTATTTCTTTAGGTTGCAGTTCTATTTGCTTGTGAAAGGGAGTGAATTTAAGTGAGTGATTTGGCGAATCAGTTATTATTAGTTTGATCTGGGTCCGCGCATGCCCTGTAGGTAACCTGGGGCATCCTGGCTAGTTCATTTATCTTTTGACAGTTATAAGATGTGATTACATATGTGTTTTACACGTTATTGATTTGTGTTTCAACGCGGGTGCATACAAATTGTAAGTAATTTCTGCTCTATTTTCTTGCTCATATAATTGGATCATATAAATACAGATTTTTCATCGGCATCAAACATTAAATCTAGTATTTGCGATGAATTATTTATTCGTTTATTCTTGAAATTTCTGGTTTTACTTTTTTAGCTTGTTCCGGGCCGCGCATGCCCTATAGGTATCCTAGAGAGATCTGGAAATTTTGTTATTACGCAGATGCGTTGCTAGGCTTTACCTAGGGTCGCGCATGCACTTGGCCCATTTTCAATTCAAGGACTTGCATTCCCTGTATTGATTTATTGCTTCTACATCCAGGTTAGCTTCATCCGGACCGCGCATGCCCTATAGGTATCCTAGAGAGATCTTGAAATTTTGTTATTACGCAGATGCGTTGCTAGGCTTTACCTAGGGTCGCGCATGCACTTTGCCCATTTTCAATTCAAGGACTTGCATTCCCTGTATTGATTTATTGCTTCTACATCCAGGTTAGCTTCATCCGGACCGCGCATGCCCTATAGGTATCCTAGAGAGATCTTGAAATTTTGTTATTACGCAGATGCGTTGCTAGGCTTTACCTAGGGTCGCGCATGCACTTTGCCCATTTTCAATTCAAGGACTTGCATTCCCTGTATTGATTTATTGCTTCTACATCCAGGTTAGCTTCATCCGGACCGCGCATGCCCTATAGGTATCCTAGAGAGATCTTGAAATTTTGTTATTACGCAGATGCGTTGCTAGGCTTTACCTAGGGTCGCGCATGCACTTTGCCCATTTTCAATTCAAGGACTTGCATTCCCTGTATTGATTTATTGCTTCTACATCCAGGTTAGCTTCATCCGGACCGCGCATGCCCTATAGGTATCCTAGAGAGATCTTGAAATTTTGTTATTACGCAGATGCGTTGCTAGGCTTTACCTAGGGTCGCGCATGCACTTTGCCCATTTTCAATTCAAGGACTTGCATTCCCTGTATTGATTTATTGCTTCTACATCCAGGTTAGCTTCATCCGGACCGCGCATGCCCTATAGGTATCCTAGAGAGATCTTGAAATTTTGTTATTACGCAGATGCGTTGCTAGGCTTTACCTAGGGTCGCGCATGCACTTTGCCCATTTTCAATTCAAGGACTTGCATTCCCTGTATTGATTTATTGCTTCTACATCCAGGTTAGCTTCATCCGGACCGCGCATGCCCTATAGGTATCCTAGAGAGATCTTGAAATTTTGTTATTACGCAGATGCGTTGCTAGGCTTTACCTAGGGTCGCGCATGCACTTTGCCCATTTTCAATTCAAGGACTTGCATTCCCTGTATTGATTTATTGCTTCTACATCCAGGTTAGCTTCATCCGGACCGCGCATGCCCTATAGGTATCCTAGAGAGATCTTGAAATTTTGTTATTACGCAGATGCGTTGCTAGGCTTTACCTAGGGTCGCGCATGCACTTTGCCCATTTTCAATTCAAGGACTTGCATTCCCTGTATTGATTAATTGCTTCTACATCCAGGTTAGCTTCATCCGGACCGCGCATGCCCTATAGGTATCCTAGAGAGATCTTGAAATTTTGTTATTACGCAGATGCGTTGCTAGGCTTTACCTAGGGTCGCGCATGCACTTTGCCCATTTTCAATTCAAGGACTTGCATTCCCTGTATTGATTAATTGCTTCTACATCCAGGTTAGCTTCATCCGGGCCGCGCATGCCCTATAGGCATCCTAGAGATCTAGAAATTTTAAATTGCAGTGCACAGCGCATGCTTTATAGATATCATGAAACGGAGGCAGCAATTTAAATCAGATAGTCATATTGATGAGTCGTTACATTTGTTCATTTATTAGTATTGATTGGGAGTTGTGCGTGTAAAGTGTTTGACAATCAAACTGTAGGTATTGCTTCTTTGGCTATTTATTAATAATTTTATAAAGTTCTTAGTCATCTTGATTTTTTAAATCTTGTTACTTAAAAAAAATATCTTAATCCTAAAATTTATATCTCCTGCTTTTGTTCATATTTACAAAATATTTTTAGATTTTTAGAAATCATATTTCAAGACCTGTTTCATTTTTGCTGTGATATCCGTAATTTGTTTAGATAGGAATATGAGATAGCGACTTTTCATTATTTTTTTTTAAATTGAAATTCGGTTTTATTGCATTAGGTCTTAGGATGCGCAAGACCGGTTTAAGAAAACAAAAACACTATGAGCTAGTGTTTGATGTACTTTAAATTCATTCAAACATTTTGTGATTTTAGCGTTGTATTTGAATATAGAATATTATTTTAATATACGATTGAATTTGTCGGCTTAATCATAACACATGGTTCACTATTTTAACTGTAAATTTAATTGGGCTTTTTAAAATCAATCTATACTTTTTATAAAGCTGAAGAGAATTCAAAAATTGTTTTTGATTAGTGCATTTATCGAGGAAGGCTATAGGTATAACATTACGCTGAGACTAATAGGGGCGAAGAAACAGGGGGAAATGTTAAAAAAATAAGGAAAATTATTTTTCTTCCTGGGCTATCGTTTCCGCAGCGTACACAAACGCTGCGAAAACGGTACAAGAAACCCAAAAAATATGTATGAAAGAAGGTTTTCTTTTTAAATGATTTAACAATGGCAGTACTTAAGTGATAAACTACTAATTGCTTTTTTATTCAACTAAAAAAAATAGGAATTTAAACAACTTTTAAATTCACACATTTTTTTAAACAGTAATTAATTCGTTTTTAAGTTTCGAAGAGTTATTAATTTCAAAGTCGCCATAGGTACGGCGAAAACTTTGCATGACTGTTACTTTTTCTCTTAGTCATATTTTAGTAGACTTAATAGTAAAATTCGCCCCGAATAGGCTTGCTAGTCGAAGTTTAGACTGGTTTCTCTGCAACTTTATCTTGTCGTTATTAGATTCTTTATTCGAGCGTTAGTATTCGAATTCGTCATCATTTACGTACGTAGCGATTTTTAATTTGATTTACCAAACATGACATGGATTATATGAAAATATAAAGTGGTCGCTTAGGAAACTTTCACACATAGGAAATTATAAGGTCATTCTAGTTAACATGTACTATGACCAGTTTTCATATTCCATCAGGTTATTTTAATGACCGAGATACACAAACAGAATTATTCTCTCTCTCCCTCCCCTAGGATCTTTCCCTTCAATACGTTCAAGGTGAGGGTTAGAGGTTGAGCTTGCCGCCCTTGAACTTCGCGCAGCTACGTTATTCAGGAGTATTGATTTTCTTCTTGACGTTTCAGGCCCATCGTTTTCAAACTTTGATTCGAGACGATCACATACATCTGTTATGTCACTAGAATTCTATCTTTATAATTAATGATCGGGAAACAATTTTCGAAGAGACTTCCTTAATTAAAACATTGTTTTATTATCGCATAAAAACAACAACAACAAAAGATACACATAGTCAAAAGTCGGGAGCGCGCAAACGCATCTTTAAAAAGTAAAAAAAAGGATTAATTATTGGCGTGTATTCACATGAATGATCTGCTTAAGACTAAAGTATATTAAAATTAGAGGCTAGAACACCGGCCAGGAGGCATCCGGCCGATAACATGTTCTCCGAACTCATATCAGTCCTTAGGAAAGATACTATGCTGAGGTTGCATGTCTGGCCGCATAGCTACATTGTTAAATGATTAAAATTAAATACATATTTATTAATTTAATTAGTACGGCCCTGTTGTTTCTATGTTGTCGTTCATAAAACAAGTTTCGAAATTTTATTTTTTCTATTCCAGATACATCTCGACCCCAGAAACCGAGTGAGCAGAACGGAAAGGAATATGTCTTCGTCACGCGTGAGAAAATGGAACAAGATATAGCTGAGGGAAAATTCATTGAGCATGGGGAGTATAAGGGCAATTTGTACGGGACGTCAGCGGAGAGTGTCGAAACTATTGTTAATTCTGGTGAGTTTAATATCTGTTGGTATTCACATACAACTCGCAAACCAGTGACAAAGATCACTAGTTGATCGGCCCACAGACGTAAGTTCATCAATGCCTAGTACGTCTCAAATAATGCGCGGAAATAAAAACTAAGTAATTCATACCTGACTTATGTAAAAGTTGACGAACAACTAATAACAATAGTTTTGTACGCGCCAAGTTTTTTTTTTGCCTAACAGCTATATGCAAGCCAATTTAAAATGTATATTAAACCTTTGATAAATTACCTCTTTGGTCGCCATATTGCGGAACATAAGATCGTTCCATTTTCAAATTAGTAACATTATATATATAGTTATTTATATTTACTAACTTCGTCATTGGTTTTAAAGTTCTGAATTGTGAAGTGAAAACCAGTTTCCTCCTCATGGGGCATGGTGCGAACACATTTCCGTGTCCGTTTCACTGATCCGTTCTTTTAACGGGCAAGTAGTTGATCAGACTTCTGTGCCCTGCCCGACCGAAACAATTTTATGTTTCCCTGGTATTCGAAGCCTAGACCTCTCCCGTTTAACCATTTGGCTACTGAGGCGGTCTGAATTGTACTACTTTAAATTTCCGCGCATTATTTGAAAAAGTACTTTACAAGCATTGGCCGCAACTAGGCATTGATGGACTTATTCACACGTTCATGCCTCTCTTGCTAGCCGCTGCAGTAATGTCCTATCCTTAAGCCTATAGTATCTGTTCGAGTTTACATAGTTTCGCATTTATAAGTAAGACTTAATCGCCCAGGTCGAGTGTGCGTCTTAAGTCCACACTGGCAAGCTTTGAAGATGCTTCGCACTCCCCGTTTGCGCCCCTACATTGTGTTCGTGAAGCCACCATCCTTCGAGCGTCTTGTGGACACGAGAACAAATGCAAACGCTCGGTCTACCTTCGACAAAGAGAGCTCTAGGGCTTTTACGGTAAGGATATTTTTTAGTTTTATTAACTTTCTTAAATATCTATTCAGACAGAACATGTATCTTTAATTTGGAATTTCACCTACAATGATCTCTTTATATTAGACCTCAATGAGCAAGTGTTAAAGTTGAAATTACATTGCGCGAGAGGCGCAAGTATTAATGGTTTGAAAAAGCTCGGCAGTTCGATTAGTTACAACAGAGACATGGATTGCTGTGCATGCCGGTATATATTCATTAATGCCTTATAAAAGGGCTCTTGCCTAACCGCCTCTGTAGCTAATGGATAGTGTAGCCTAACTCGTGTATACGGTAGATTGTTTCTGTCGGAAAGGGCCGATACATAAAACGGATCATTGAAACGGACATGTTCGCTCCATGCCCCACGGGGAAACGGAATTTCACTTTATAAATGAGCGGTCACATTTATATTTACTACTTGTATTTTTCATTTAAATAAAACACGAGACACCCTCCGTTCACGAGCATCCGAAACGTCGGGCCGTAGTTAAAAATAATTTTCAAACAAGTTTAACTAAAATATATCGCGTTTCAAACCGTTAAAGTGTTTTATTTGAATGTTTACTATTCGCGTAAACTACAGACAGTTATTTCGCTTAATAGGAAGAAGAGTTCCACGACATTGTTCGCTCTTCGACGCGAATCAATTTCCTCTACGGCTACATGTTTGACGAGGAGATTGTGAACGAAGACCTGGCAAGTGCGCTGACCCAGCTTCTCAAGACCTCGTGGAGGGTCCAGTCGGAGCCCCTTTGGGTTCCAGCTTCGTGGGTACAGTAAGAGTAGGAATAAAGTCTAGTCTAGTCTAGTCTATCTAGTCAGTATAGGTCTTATAGAGATTTTATTTATTGCAAAGATTTCCTTTTTTTTTTTAGTTCGTCCGGTTCGGCGGTTAACATGGCATATTATAATATAGCGTTTCCGTACCTCCAGTTTTTTAAAAGCGAATCCAGCTCAATTAGACAATCAATAGCCAGTATTTGTGAATTATAATTTACTGAGCACAATCATGAAGAACCTTATTACTATTTGTTTTTTTTGTTTTTATTGTTCTTTAGGAATGTGGTTCATTTTGTGAGTATGTTAGAAAACGCTTAAACCATTAGTCGCTATATCCTTCTGATTGCTCAATTATGATAAATTCTGATTAGAAAGATGGCGGCGCCTAAAGTTATTTGCTGCTATTTTTATCCAGCGTAAAAGATGTTAAGTGTTTTCCGTATGTGACGTAACTAGTACACGTTCAAATAAACCCACTTTTAACGGTTCAAAGTGCGACATTTGTTGTTTAACTACTAGTTAAGTATTTCGCGTTTTAAGCTGTTAAAAGTGGGTTTAATTGAACGTGTACTAGTTACGTCGTTTAATTGAACGTGTACGTTACGTGTAACCAAACTAAATGTAAAAGCAAAGATTTTGATCTCATGTTTAGTCACATTATTTGTAGAGTTACTTTTAGTTTTTAAATTTTTAGGTTAGAGTGTTATGTACGACACGTATTTGATCTCATTTGCTTATAGTGCCCAGGGTTAAAAAATTTTGTTACAAGGTTTAAGTCGATAAAAGCTACACCAATTCTAAAACATGGGTTATTATAACATTATATGAACGTAATTGTATTTACAATGAAAAATTAATGATACTAATAGCGTTTCCTTTTGTGTTTAAATGTAGATATGTATATACCGCGATATTGATTCCTAGTCATTACATTAAATATAATTATATTGATACATTTGACAGTGCACCTACAATGTGAGTAAGCCATAGCGCAGTTTTCTATAGTTTTTATCGTGTAAAGTAAACTAACAGTGAATAGTTGATACCTACAATTTACCCATAGTATATGAATTAGTAAGCGATAGAGCAGTTGTCTATAGTTTTTATCGTGTAAAGTAAAACTAACAGTGAATAGTTGATACCTACAATTTACCCATAGTATATGAATTAGTAAGCGATAGAGCAGTTGTCTATAGTTTTTATCGTGTAAAGTAAAACTAACAGTGAATAGTTGATACCTACAATTTACCCATAGTATATGAATTAGTAAGCGATAGAGCAGTTGTCTATAGTTTTTATCGTGTAAAGTAAAACTAACAGTGAATAGTTGATACCTACAATTTACCCATAGTATATGAATTAGTAAGCGATAGAGCAGTTGTCTATAGTTTTTATCGTGTAAAGTAAAACTAACAGTGAATAGTTGATACCTACAATTATCCATAGTATATGAATTAGTAAGCGATAGAGCAGTTGTCTATAGTTTTTATCGTGTAAAGTAAAACTAACAGTGAATAGTTGATACCTACAATTTACCCATAGTATATGAATTAGTAAGCGATAGAGCAGTTGTCTATAGTTTTTATCGTGTAAAGTAAAACTAACAGTGAATAGTTGATACCTACAATTTACCCATAGTATATGAATTAGTAAGCGATAGAGCAGTTGTCTATAGTTTTTATCGTGTAAAGTAAAACTAACAGTGAATAGATTATACCTACAATTTACCCATAGTATATGAATAAGTAAGCGATAGAGCAGTCAATAACTTTATTATTAACATTTCGTAGCAGCTAGTATTAAAAATTTATATATCTACGGTTCACGAATATTTACTCACATTTAACATTTAAATATAATATTACATGTTCTTTAACTATAAGTACGGTTTAAAATCGGGTTTAGAATCTAAGCAGAAGGGTGCGCAGAAAAGTAGTGGTAGTGGATAGATTATGAATTGAATTTCTTGTTAATAGCGTGCGTGTTTCATATAGTTTTGTCAGCACTGGTGCTGTTAGAAAATTATATGGCTCTGTATTTCTTGGAATTAACGGTTTTCAATCACATTTATAGTTCTAAAGCTTATCTCGACGAGGTCGTCGTTGTTGCTCAGCTCGTGGTAGTTAAAAGCTCAACTCTGCATTTTATATTAGTGGCGTTAATACTTCGCATAGCTAATCCTTTTAAAGCTTAAAGTAATTCTTGCGTATTAAATCTATTTAAAATATTATTCACGTTCGACATTTATGCGACGTTTGTGTATGTCAATGCACTTTTCAAATATGCACCGTTGAGTAGTGTTAACAAGAAATAACATTCGCAATTTCATTAGTTTCCGTAGAAACTTTTTCCATTTGAGGCTTTCTATAAATAACTCCGTGTAGTAGTTAGGTGTAACAAAATCCCGGGTCTCATCCTGGGTACCTAGTAAGTAGGAAATAAGGTTCAACTAACCGGGTATAAACATTCATTGTAATATATTTCTGGTTGTGACGACTACAAAATATCTGTAGTGTGCAAACGTTTTCCGTTGTCTGTCAGAATAATCAAGTAAGGTAGGTAAGTTAACACGGACATTATTGTCTTCACTTCCACGTTTCCACTAGCTTCTTCTAATCATTCACGTTTACTTGGACGAAATATATCCGTGTATCTATGCAATAAATTCTGATGTATCTTCAAGCGTTCACCTTGTCTTTTAGAATATACTCCTTCCTAAGTAAGTCACGTATTGGTCGTTCTGTGAGACTCCCGAGCAATGGAAATTGTTGATGATTAAACTGATGAGGAATTTTCTGGCATTACCGCGAGTGATGTCGTTAGAAAGCGTCTGAGTATACGCAGACGTCTTGACTCTCACACCTAGAGTCAAATAAGTGCATTTGAATTCGAAGCCTATAACAAATGCATAATATCCCTTACCAAATGACGATTTTTGTCGAGTTCAATGAATCGGCGAAAATTTTTCGGCATTAGTACTACTGGTGCTATTATTTAAAACCGCTGAGAGTAGGCGCTTTTCCACACTACGTGCAGCGTTTTTAAATTGTTCAAATAACGATCGAGAGGCTTTTCCCTACCCAACTCGTAATGTTCGAATTCGCAAAACTATTTCCTTTTTTAGATATCCCTCGCAAAGTACTCTTCAATACTAATTATGTTTGTTACTAATAATTTTTTTAATCATTACTAACTTGTTTAAAAGTAAAATTTAACCCTTTGCAACTTGTATGTCCAACGGAACACCAGGAACAAGCAACAAGTACACGATCAAGTCCAGTCCATTGTTATCCTGTCGTATCTGCCTGTACAGGGTAGTCGATATCTATAACATAGGGCGCTGCCTAATATACTGTATGGACAACTAGACTACTAAATTCGACACTCACCTATTTTGGGACGAAGAAAGGGTTTAACAACTCAAAACTACTACTTTATGACGCACGGTGGGAGAACTTAGTCCAGGTTCGATCGGGTTAGAGTACCACCCCTACGCTTATTTCCGCTGGAGAGCGACGTCCAGTTGCCTACCAGTCTGAAGAGTGTAGGAGCCGACACACACAGGACAAAATAAAGAGGCGACCAACTCAGTCCTCAAGCAATGAGGTGGGAGAACTTAGTCCAGGTTCTATCGGGTTAGAGTACCATCCCTACGCTTATTTCCGCTGGAGAGCGACGTCCAGTTGCCACCAGTCTGAAGAGTGTAGGAGCCGACACACACAGGACAAAATAAAGAGGCGACCAACTCAGTCCTGAAGCAATGAGGTGGGAGAACTTAGTCCAGGTTCTATCGGGTTAGAGTACCACCCCTACGCTTATTTCAGCTGGAGAGCGACGTCCAGTTGCCACCAGTCTGAAGAGTGTAGGAGCCGACACACAAAGGACAAAATAAAGAGGCGACCAACTCAGACCTCAAGCAATGAGGTGGGAGAACTTAGTCCAGGTTCTATCGGGTTAGAGTACCACCCCTACGCTTATTTCCGCTGGAGAGCGACGTCCAGTTGCCACCAGTCTGAAGAGTGTAGGAGCCGACACACAAAGGACAAAATAAAGAGGCGATCAACTCAGTCCTCTATTGTTATAAATAGGAGCCTTTGTAGCCTGTAAAATTATTAGCATGTTCCATCGTGCTTTGGTTACAACTCCAATGTATTTGCGGCGTCATAGGCCGTTTGACAGTCTTTGCCACTCTATTAATCAATCCTATCTTATCGAACATATATTAATACTTTGTAATTCTAATATATCTAACTTAGTACTAGGATGATACTAGGGATGCTAAATATTGTAAATTTTTACAGGGATGCAGTTTTCTTTTAAGTAATTTAAATGTATATAATATTGATAAGTTAAACGTACGATCGAAAAGAATATTGCATCCCCATTTTATTGTAAGGATCATTTATATATAGTAGTACTTTATATGTTTTTGTTTAAGGATCATTAATTTTTAAGCGACCTTATGTAATTCGAATCGACCAGTGCAATTATTTCTTACCAACCATTTAAGAGTGTTAGTTAAGTTCTCTTAAATAAGGAATAAATGTACTAACGTTATTCAAAATACATAAAGTCCAAACGTACTAGAGATGTACTTACCTTTTTTATCTTTTTCTTATGAAAACACGTGACAAGCGTTATAGCCACGTGATTTCAACGAAAAAAGTTGAGTGCGTCTCGGTACGATGTGATGGTATCTTTGATATACCGATTATAAACTATTATGAACGTTCAAAGCGAACTAATAATAATTCTTCAACTAATATTACAATCTTCCACCAATCTTATCTTGATGTATATTGCATATTTATTACAATAAGCGCGATGCTTTTTAACATTTACGATTCTATTAATGTTAAGATGTCAACGTTAAAAGCAGATTTTTGCAGTCGTCACTACCACCACTTGGAGCTATTTACAATACATTATGGACTATTTGTAAACATAATTATATTATTATTTATGTGTGATAATAATATAATTATGTTTTTTGACTCAAAATTGAGGAAACGTAATTGGACAACACAATTTAAAAATCTTGTCGTTATAAACAATTACTTGGATTTTGACTTAAACCTCGATTATGAGAGGTGAAACTATTAAGACACGGATTCGTACGATGTTTCGCTCTTAACCGACACTGTTGCTACTTTAGAATTCATTTCTATTGCTTACCCATTGATAGTCTTTTAAATTAATCTTCGATATATGAGCAATTTCTAAGAGAGGTTACACCCATTTGACTCTACAGAATCTCGTTACAATTCGTTAGTAAACTTTTCGATGCATTTATTAGGTGTTTATTACGATAGACATAAAATTCTATATTTACACTCCTTGTGGTTATTGCACTTTTTAAACTCCATATTTTTTTAAATATAAAGTTGTACTTTTGTAAGAAATGCCGTAATCAAACCATTTAGCAATCTCCTAACATTGCACATATTTTACGTTAACTTTTTTATTTATTTAAATAAACACGCTTATTTATTTAAACGCGGTGTCGGAATGTGCGAAACCAAAGCGCCCTTTTCGCAATGAGTGCCCATCATCGTCTTAGAAAAAGTTTCGGCTTTATTCTCTAGACATAAAACTCGACAACAACGTAGAAACATTAGATGCAGTTACTACGTTGGGGTTATCGAGTCGCGGAATCACCATTCAGGCGTACAAATCAATTATTACGCAAGAGGTAAAATTTTGACTTTCCACCAACTCAGAACTTTACCTCAACGACCTTTTACTGACAATTTCATAATATATAATAACGCGTTGAACACGTACTAGTGTTCGGCGCTCAAACAATGAGACCATAATAATATTGATTAGCTAGTATCGTTAAGCGTGAAGCTATTTTGCCGATGTAATTGTAAAATAAAGTAATGGCAGTAATACTATACATCAAGTAGTGGGTAGAATGGATGTTGTAGATCTTGTCTCTCGCTAACATCTCGTTTTAAAGATTTTTTTTTTGCACAATCGCGTAGGTTTAGGTTTTGTAACATAGTATTCCATTAACTCGAGTACGATTCACCGTTGGGCCTAGGGACGTCCGGTATCGCACGTTTTCGCTTTAGTCGTTTAATTATTTTATATGTTAGATTTAAAATCCCTTATTGTTAAATACTGTCTATAGTTTACGCGAGTAGTTCACATTTAAATAAAACACTTTAACGGTTTAAAACGCGATATATTAGTTTAAAAAAGGTCTCCCCGTGACCACGGCTTCGGCAAAGCATCCGAAACGTCGGGCCGAAGTTAAAAATCATTTTCAAATAAGTTTAACTAATATATCGCGTTTTAAACCGTTAAAGTGTTTTATTTAAATCCCTTATTGTTGATGTTCGCCCCTTAAGCGGTGTCATAGTTAATACAGATTATATTGAGATGGTAAACGAAGAATGCGCTCAAAAGGTTTGGTGAATTTTGTCATTATGGAAAGCACGATTTGATTTTAACATATTGTCGATTTTTAGTGATAAGTGATATCCCAATATTTCGGACTGGCGTTTGTAAAGAAAATAATCGTCTAATATTGTTACCCACATTGTAATGTTCGCTCAGTCTATGATCTAAGACTGTCTGCGGATTGTGCGAAACCTTGTAAAGGGGTGACAGGATTAGCGCACGGATTGAGCGAAGAATTATGTATTAAATGTGTACTCTGAATAAATAAAATAATAATAAGTTGTCTCTTATTGCCCTCCGACTTGCAAATTGATATATCTAGAGAAAGGTGAGTATCAAATAGATGTGTGTTCTTGCCAGACTTTAGGCCTTGATAAGAGTAAATAGTACGTTACATGATAGGAATTAATGGAAGAATGTGTACATGTAGAGGCACACATACGTATGTTAGTTGCGGCTAAAACTTTTATAGTACTTCACTCAAATAATGCCCGAAAATTAAAAGTCAGTCGTAACAACTAAAAACGATAGGTTTTTTTTCACTAAATAGCTTTCTACGTGAAAGCCAGTTCCAAATTTAAATTGAACCTTTGATAAGTCACCTCATTGGTCGCCATGTTGTGGAGCAGAAGATCGTTCCATTTTTAAATTACGCGTCGAAAATGATCTTGCATAGGAATTTATTTGGCCGCTAAACGTGACAGGTGTGAATTTTCGCACAACTATTGCCGGCCGCTGCTCGACCAGTACAGCAAGATCGATTTATCTCGAAGATGCTGGTCACAATAAGGCTCAAATATCCAAGCGAAAAACAATTTCTTATATCATATGTACAAGGAACTAGCCCTTACTAGTCCACGACATTATGCTTAATTTAATAATACTTTTACAATAAAATTTTGTATTGGTGCGAATTTTATGTTACGACAACCTTAATACATAAAAACTCTCCATTCCTTATGTTTGTGATCGTCATACGTTCGTTCAACGGGTCCTGAGTTCGATTTACAACGGGTCTAACATTTTTCTAATTTTTATTTTTCTGAAACATATTGAGAGGACAGTATTTGTCTGAAGACGAGAAACCTTGACTGCCTAGGCATGCTTAATAGTCAATTTGAAACTTGTTCAAAATATATTGCTTTTGTAAAAAAAAGTAATTTCAAAAAAAATTCAACAAATATATATTTCTTTATAACGTATTTCTTTATAACGTATTTCTTTATAATGTATAAAAGTCATAAATCAATTTGCACTTATAATTATTATGGCTGCATCCTTAGGGATCCGTCTAGTCTTATTGTTTCTCCGTTAAGCATTGGGTTCTGTATAATACTCTGTACGAGTAATGCATATTCTTCTGGGTGACCCAGACGAGATGGGAAAGGCACCGATGCTTCCAGCTGCTTTATAGCGGGTTCTGGTAGTTGCTCCATCATGGGGGTTCTGAATAAACCTGAAAATTTAGGTCAGTATGATTTCAAACAGAAATTTATTTAATAAGATTTTTAATTAAAACATGGGGTTCGAACCCCACTTGGTCCAATGTTTCTAATCAATATATAATTTTTCATATGCTGGAGTCTGTCTAGAAATTCGGACATTAAATGTTTGGATTTTTTCTTTATATTATAATTCGTCCTTCCGCAGATGAAACAGCTAATCGCGTTTAGGTTTCAGTCTGTGGATGTCTGAATATCCAAAGCCTGGGGTATTTCCATGAAGAGCAGCAAATGCGGCTGGCTGTAGATTTGCTATAAATAATATATATAGAAGATTTGCCTATAAATCTGCTGACCAGTAAAAAAGAGCAGGTTTTTTTATTGCCAAACGGTCGTGTACTCTAACTACTCCTTATTGACTCTCTATATAAGACTGCTAGAAGCAGAGTAGCCTAACTGCAATTTTATGACTTGGCTTATTTATATTTTCATAGTCAAAAAATGTTAATCTACAAGAGCACAGTGACGGACAATTTTTAACATAGTTATTACACAAATAATAGCAAAATTCATTTTTGTCTAAGTTCATTGCGCATTTTTAGGCCACACTGCCGCTAGCAGCCTCATGTGTAAGCATCTAATACATGGGAACTGAAAATATAACAGAAGACAACACCGAAGAATTAAAAATGGAGCAGTTGTTGAGACTCTACAAACAAACCGGAAGGTGAAGTGGTTAACAAATGGCGTGGACTGATTACCCGAGACTGATCACAAATAAAAAATATATTAGCATCTATTATTCAATAGTAAGCATAAGCAAGATTTTACTCTTACCTGGTGCTATAGTAACAACGCGAATGCCCTGCTTAGCAAGATCTCTGGCTATCGGCAGAGTCATGCCTACAACACCTGCCTTTGAGGCCGAATATGCTGCCTGTCCAATCTGAAATATAATATAACTTTTGAATTATATTCAAAAATAATCTGTTTCAAGAAACAGACACACAAAAGATAGGAATAGCGAAATTCCGTCCACAGAAGAAAATCGTGTAGTTTGTGTTAAAGTCTGTGGATTTCCGAAAAACCAAATCCTAAATAAGTCGACAGCGCATCTTGCTTAGAAGTTATGTGGCTGGGATATTTCACCTACCATCGAGTGATAGGGTTCTCTTGGTTCAGGTCTTTCCTCCTCTACAATAAAAAAAAAACAGATATTTTTAATATAGTAATTTCCTTTACACAATTGTCAAAAAATTGCTCTTACATTAAAAATTTCTCTAAAACATTTATGACAAGTAAGATTCTCTACAGATAGGTATCTGAATTAAAAAATTTACAACACTACACATTGAAAACGTTTTTACTATTATTTTGAATTATTGCTATACAGTAAAAAATGCATAATTAATCTAGTGGTATGAAAACAACCTATAGAACCAGGTTATACCATCCTATCATTAGTTGCATTACCTGACCATCAAAGGCAGCTACGCTGGCAGTGTTTATGATGACACCTCTCTGACCATCCGCATTTGGTGCATTCTTTCCAATAAGTCCAGCGACAAAACGGATTATATTAAATGTGCCGACTAAATTCACCTATAAAATTACATACAAAAAAAATTACTGAATGAAATAATCCGCAGAATATGTTTAAAACATTAATTAATTTTTTCAATAATTAATTTATTGAATTAAACACAAAAGGGCCTTGATATTTGTCATGAACATAAATTACAGATACAACAAAATCTGTTTAAATTAAAAATATTAAATTACGAGCTAATGAAATACTAATCTGCAGAATATGGTGAAACATTTTTTTAAATCATTAATTTATTAAATTAAACAGACAAAAGGCTGAAAATCTGTTTTAATTTGAAAGTAAAAAATCAATGTATTATGAGCCTTTACATTTTACATTTTAAGGAAACAAACTGACCTCAATAGTTTTTTGAAATGACTTCAAATCAAAGGGCTGTTCCTTTTTGAAGTTATATATTCTGGAAGCTGTGGCAATTCCAGCACAGTTGACAGCAACATCTAATCTTCCAAATTTGTCCACAGTTGTCTGTAGTGCGTTCTTGACATCTACCTCTGAAGTAACCTGATTTAAATATTATTGAATAAATAGAAGGAAAAAAAAGTGATGAATGCATATATATTCTCAAAATTAATTCTTATTTATAAAATAGTTCTAAAGAATGTGGCAAAGCTTGAGTCTAAATAAACAGAAGAATTATTCAAATAATTCTTCTGTCTGTTTAGTATGGACCTTGGTATATGTACACTTATTATAAGTAGAAAACAAATAAAGCCTTTGTTTGATGCAAGAGGACAATAATAGCTTTTAATTTGAATTGATTATGTTTTCACTAGGTATATGAGAAACTGAAAAAATCCAACAAAAGGCTACTCTAACTGAAAAATTATTACAAATGAAATAAATTGGCATCTTACTAACTACCTACTTGTGTTATTATTATGATTTTCATTTGGGGAAAGCTATTGCAAGCCAATAAGTCCAACTATGATAACTATGTCACTTATTTTCTAAGGAAATAGGTAAATTGATAACATTTTAGTACTAGTCTATACTCATATTATAAAGAGGAAAGATTTGTATTTTTGTATGTAATGGGTAATCTCAAAAAGTACTGGACCGATTTCAATAATTCTTTTTTCATTAGAAAGCTACATTATCACTGAGTAACATAGGCTATATTTAGTACTTGATTACTATAGGCATCTATAGAAATTCTTACTAAAACCAACGGAAGACGTAAAAAAATTAGCCGTAAAATGTCTTTCTTCGCATACGCTGCAAAAAGTATTAATGATAGGACAATATTATAGATTATATTAATATCTACAAAAAATATCCCGAGAGCATATGTCTAACTATTGTAGTTACGTCGCTATAACTACTTTTTTACATTTAACCAATTGATAGAAATGCCGATGAAAATCAGACCGTGTCATCTATACCGTTTATAAATTTTTATCCAAATAAATAATTTAATATTCAAGACTGTCTCAAAAGCTAATGATTACTTTTTTAAAAATACATGCCGGCGGCGGCCGTCACGCCGCGCATTGAGTAACTAATTCGACGATAGAGGAGCAGTGGGCTCCTTACTTTTTTTTTTAAACATTTTTATGCTTCACTTAAAAGTTTTTTTCAAAGTTACTTAGTTTTAGTATTAAGAATCACACTTTGCATAATGTTTGTCAAAGTTCTTTTCGGAACTATCGCTTTGAACTTGAATATTTTCTTTTGTATTATTATTAGTTTATTCTTAATTTCTCTGATTTAAAATAAATATCCTTCATAGCAATAAGCCTAGAAGAAGAAGAAGGTCGCAGCTATCTAAGAATAGTTTCCAAGCGAGATTAGCAAAAGTTCGTCGTATTGGAGAGTCTTCTTCTGTCATCTGTTCTTCGTCTGGAACGCGTCCCAATCGCGAGCCATAGATTCTATCGTCGAACGTTCAGGTTCGTCTTTCAGAACAAAATGCAAGATTGTCGCAGCGACTTGAAGGAAATAGAGCTAGCACGGGACACTAACACTGAACGCTAGCAGCGGCTCCTGAACCAGTGAGTCAGTCCACGGTCGTTAATAGAGAGGACTGGCAATACAATTTTTTTCTAATTTTGTGATTCATGGTCGTTTTAATTAGCACGCTTATAATTTAAATATTTGTACTTATTTATGTCTACCCGTGTGAAGCTGGGACAGGGCCGCTAGTAATTAAATAAAAACCATTTATATCTTTAAATAAATATCTTTCTAATAAATAAAAAATGACCAATTCATGTTACTAACACACTTAGGTATATTTATACCAAAACTTTACAAAGTCCTTTAAATTTACTAGGAGGCATAATAAAAGTCAAAGATTTAACTGAATTTGCATAGCCACATTTAAATTTACAAATATGTTTAAGCAAGTGCAACTAGCACCCCCAGCTTCACTATTATATTGAGAAAAGTGTAGGAGAAAATAGTAACAAACAAACTTACATCAACAGGTACAAACGCAGCATCATTTCCTAATTGTTTGGCAAGAGCAACACCAGGACTTGATGGCAAGTCACAAATAACAACTCGGCCTCCTTGCCTGACTAAATGCTCAGCTGTTGCCCTCCCCAATCCTGACGCCCCTCCAGTCACAAGTCCAACTAAGCCCTAAGTACCCAAAAAAGATAATGTTTTATAAATAATCATTTATGGGTCTAAGCACACCTTTATCTTTTTATTATTCCTATGCTATGGTGACAAAAGAATAGTCTACGTTAAAAAAAAAAAAAAAAAAAAAAAAAAAAAAAAAAAAATTTAATATTATTTTAATTTTTTTTTTTTTTTTTAAAATTTTGTGTGGGGGGGGGGGGGGGGGTGGGGCCCCCCCCCCCCCCCCGGGGAAGTTATAAATAATAAAAATAATATTTTTTTTTTTTTTTTTTTTTTTTTTTTTTTCTTTTTTTGTGTGTTTTATAAAATTTTTTTTTTTTTTTTTTTTTTTTTTTTTTTTTTTTTTTGTGTCTGGCCCCGGGGGCGCGGGGGGGGGGGGGGGGTTAATTTTTTTCCCCCTTTCCTTTATTTATTATAATTTTTTTTATTTTGTGGGGGAGAAATAATTATATTTTTTATATTATATATTTTTTAGGGCAAATATTTAACCATCCATTATTTATTTTTTTTTTTTTTTTTTTTTTTTTTTTAATAATATTTAATGGCCTGGTAACGAGACCTTTAAGCCAAGTCTTATTTTCACTTCACACTTTTCTTCTTATATGGACCCTATAGTGTTTTTAATGTATTTGTATAACGCACTATAACACTTTTTGTTTTTAAGTAAATTACACAACTGGCGGCGGGAGGTTTCACTAGCTTCTATAATATCACTTGCCAATATAAGTCTATGAAAGATAAACATAGGGTGTTGACACTTAAAAAATATGTGTTCGATGTCTCCTTCTTCGTCACAGTAGTTGCAAATATTGCTATTTATTATATTGAACCTCGCAAGATGTGCGGGTGCGGCATTGTGACCAAATCTCAATCTGTTAATTGTAGTGATAAATTCACGACTAGCTACATCGAGCTCGTCATACCAGGGTTTGTTTGGTAAATTCTCTTGTATAGTTCCATACCATTTTCCTTTACATTTTTGATCTTCTTTCCAGAACTTTAGCCACATATCTTTTAAGGAGATATTTACATCGTTATAATAGTCAGTCATAGGAACGGACACCACATTTCTAACGTTCTTAGCATTGATTCCTTCATATGCAGTCTTGTCAGCTATTTCATTACCAGAAATACCCTTATGGGAAGGAACCCACATAAAGGCAACTGTTATTCCTTTATTATGTAACTGCCACACATAATCTTTGATATAATAAATTATATAGTTGGTTTTAAAATTAAGATTTATATGTTTGAGGCTTTCTATAAGACTCAAAGAATCTGTTAAAATTAAAAAATGTTTACAAGTATCAATATGTGTGATGAATTTTAAAGCCTCAAAAACTGCATATGCCTCTGCCGTATATATGGAACAATGTTCATTAAGTACAAAGCTCTGAGTGTATTTTTTTTGCGGATCATATATTGCACATCTAACATAAGTATTACCTTTGCTGCCATCAGTATACATTGTATAATAACTATTATTTTCTTCTAGGAAGGAAATAAAGTCTGTGTTATTATTGATTATCATTGAAAAAACTACTATTGGATGCATTATACTGGCGTATGAATGAGTGTAACATGGCCAGTGGGAGTACCTACAAATGTTTGAATATTGAGACTGTATGTCTAACAAAATTTGGCATAAAGTTGGAGATATGTTTCTAAGAAGATTTATAGCAGAAAAAAGAGGACTATCAGTAGTCATTGGGTGAGGTTTAATTTTATTTATAATTTGTAAATTGTTTGATGAGCATAATTTAAGGCAATATCTTTGTGCAAGCATAAATCTTCTCAAAACCAAAGGCATAATATTTGTTTCAACTTCCATGGCCCTTATGGGAGTTGAACACATAGCCCCTGATATGATCCTTAAAGCTCTGTTCTGTATTACATCTAATTTTTGGATATGAGTACTATTTAAATAGACTAAATAACTATAGTCAAAATGACTCCTAACAATAGATTTATATAAGACTGAAAGTATTTTAGGATCTGCACCCCATGTAACACCTGCTAAGCATTTCAAAATATTAAGACCATTTAATGCATGTTTAGATATATATTTAATTTGTTCTTCAAAGGTAAGTCTTTGGTCAATGATAACACCTAAAAATTTATGTGACCTTACTTGTTGTATAACATCACCATTATAAGTAACATTTATCATTGGTAGGTCTTTTCCAAATATCATGACATTACTTTTCATAGTATTTACTTTTAAGTTTAGTCTGTGCTGGTAATAGTTATTCAATTGTCTTAATCCAGTATTTACTTTTTCTACAGCTAATGTTAAGTTTAAATCCGAACTGTATAAAACTAAATCATCAGCAAACTGAAGTATATTTACATTTTTGGTATCTACATATTTACATATTTCACATGTGTACAAGTTATATAACAATGGTGACAAAGTTGCACCTTGCATGGTACCTTTTGAGGCAATTCTGGGTCCATGTAGAACATTGTTATGCCTAACATATAGAACTCTATTACTTAGAAAATCATAGATCCATTTACACAACTGTCCTGGTATCCCAGCATTACTTAGTACCTTGACCAGTATGCCAGGATCTACACTATCAAAGGCCCCTTGGACATCTAAAAATACGCAAACTGTATGTATCTTATTATTTTTCGCATTTTTCAGATCATTTGTTAGAGAAATAAAGCTGTCTGCACAGCTTCTTCCTTTACGAAATCCATATTGAATGTGAGGGATGATAGTATTTGATTCCGCATACCAGTCGAGGCGAGTCTTCAACATGTTTTCAAATATCTTACCAAGACACGATGATAGTGAGATTGGACGATAAGAACTTGCATTTTCTGGTGATTTATCTGGTTTAAGAATTGGAATAACACATTGAGTCTTCCATGATGTTGGAATTAATTTCTTATGCCAGAGACTGTTAAGTACATTTAAAAATATTAATTTTATGGATTCAGGTAAATATGTTATTAATAAATAGGGAAAGTCATCTAAACCGGGACTAGTATTTTTACGGGATTGTAAACTCATTATAAATTCGGACCATGAAAAAGGTTCTAAAAGAAATCTTGATTGAGGGTTTTCATTGTTAGATATAAAATAATCATTTAATGAATTGGAGTTTACTAAATTTGTATTATCAGATAGTTTGTCTAAGAATGGTTGCACAAAATCATCCCTATACGACTTATTACCAGTTCTGACACCCTTAAACTTTTTAATGAGATTCCAAATTTGACTAATGGGAGTAGTTCTATTAAAGCTGTTACAGTAACTATTCCAACTAATTCGTTTTTGCTCCTTTATAGTGCGTTTCTTTAGCGCGTCTAGTCTTTTATAATTTATATAATTATCTACCGTGGGATCGTTTCTATAAAGTTTAAGTGCGTTGTAAGATTTTATAACAGCCTCTTCACATGTACTATTCCACCAGGGCGCTGGTGGTCTGCCTCTAAAGTTGGTTTTAGTAAATTTAGGAACACACATTTGTTTAAGCTTATTAAGTCTGTTACAAAACTCCTCATAAGAGGCAACTGGATTCTCTTTACTAACTATCATGTCTTGAAAGACATTATTAGAGACTTCTGCATACTTATTCCAATCTGTTTTATTATACAAAAATTTTTCTGTACCATATATTACTGTATATCTTTCAGGGTTTATAGTAATATTTGTGATAGTTGGGTAGTGATAACTACCCATAGCATCATCATATACTGACCATTCACAGAATGGAGCCAACTGGGGACTTATAAAACTTACATCTATTGCTGAGGGATTATGTCTAGGATAATTAACTGTTGTAGAGCTACCATCGTTTAAAATGCATAAACCACAATCATCTATAATGTCATATAAGTTTTGACCTCGACTTTTAGTGGATAAACATCCAAAGGCAATGTGGTGTGCATTAAAATCACCACTTATAAAAATCGGTTTTGGCAAATCTCTTAAAATATTATGTAATCTATGCATTCTTATGTGTCCATTAGAAGGAGGACAATATACACAAAGAATTGACAAAGAGGTATTACCGGTACTGACACTTAAAGCTATTGTTTGTATATCTTCTAAAAACACAGTATTTAAAATACTATGCTTTATATTTGGTTTTATTAAAATTCCAACACCATTTCGAGGGTTTTTAGAATTTTTATTGTAAAAGTTATAACCCGAAATGTAAAAAGACTGATTGTCCTTTAACCACGTCTCATTTAGTAAACAAATATCAATATCATTTTCATTTAAAAATTTAGTAAGTAAAGGTTTTTTATTGTTTGCGCCTTGAACATTAAATTGCGCAAGGCGCAAAGAGGATGACATGCAAGATTGGTTCTCCATTAACTTGGCAAATTTTTAATAAGTATATCTTTGATAAATGTTGTTGTTATAGGAGTGTCGTCTGTTTTATTTCCAATTTGAACAAGTGTATGTACCAGGGCCATAAGTACTTCACTGTTCTCAATTATTTGAGACTTAATGTTACTAGCCTGTGAAACTGGCTTACTTATTATAGATTTATTAACATTTTTAGATAGAGAATTATTTATATTCTTAGATACAGTATTATTTACAGTAATAGTATTATCATTTTTATTTACAGGTATGGAGCATACTGGCAGAGGGGGAAAATCAATATTTAATTTTGAATTGGCAACACTTGCATATGTAATTTTATTTTTCTTATCCACAATTTTTTTCATTTTAATGGGACATAGTTTCGAGATAGCCAAATGAGGTCCACTGCAGTTTACGCAGCAAATCTCATTTGGTTTAGGACATTCCTTATAAAAATGTTCTTGGGAACAAATAGAGCACCGCTGTTTGCCATTACAAATTTTTGCATGATGGTTGAATTTAAAACATTTGTAACATTGTTGGAGAGGGGGGACATAATCGAAAACTCTGTATGAAAATAAATCGTACTGCACACTTTCTGGTAAAAAGTTAGATAAAAATGTGATGCTAACAGTTTGAGTTGCTATCAATTCATGACCAACTTTTTTCATGAATCTCCTGACTGCTATTATTTCAAATGTAGATGTCAATTTACTAAATAACTCTTTGTTTGATATGGTTGCAGGAACAAATCTTATAATACCTGTTTTCTCTATTTGGGCTGCTGGTATGTATGCTTTCAAGTCGTGGCTTTCAAGGAAGCTGTTATTGTTTAAAAAATTATTTGCCGTATTGTGTTGTTTAAATATCACTACAATTTTGTTTGCATTGATTCGTCTGATCGCTACAACTCCTTTTATATTCGAAAATATATGGTTCAAATAAACTGGACTTTTATTTCCTATTTTATCTTGTCCGTTTTTGTTTTCAATAAAAACTTTGAATTCTGTGTTTATACTATTTTCAGAATAAAGTCTTTTATAGTTTGGTTTAAAATATGGCAAAAAGTCTTTCTCACCACCTCCGCCGCCAAGACCAGATCCGTTCTGGTGATCATCAGGCCGTCGTGGTCTTTTTTTGGAGGTGGGCGGGCTATCCACGCCCTCCTCCATTTTTACTGATAACACTCTATATGAATAATGTATTTATGCTATATTGAACAAAGAAATACTAAAACATTAAATTAATTTGTGCTAAAGAAAAATAGTCGACCGCCCTTTTTCAAATTCCCGCCCCCCAATTTTTTTTTAAAAAATATTAAAACACGGGGGGGGGGGGGGGGGGGGGGGGGGGGGGGGGGGGCGGGGGGGGGGGGGGGGAGAAGGGGGGGGGGACAGAAAAAATTTTTTTTTTTTGGGGGGGGGGGGGGGGGGGGGGGGGGAGAAAAAAAAATAAAAAAAAAAATTTTTTTTTTTTTTTTTTTTTTAAAAAAAAAACACAATTTTATTATTTTTTTTTTTTTTTTTTTTTATTATTTAGAAGAAAAATGTGTTTTTTTTTAATTTTTTTGGTTTTGGGGGGGGCTTTTTTTTTTAAAAATTATAAGGAAAAACCCAACGTTAATCGTTGGATTCCGTTTCTTCTCAAATACACTAGTGTTTACTTTTGTTGACCGTATTTCGTTGTTATATATAATAATTTCGTTGATGCTTAAACTCCAAATTTCTATTCAGCTTGCACTAGCTTTCGTTTGATATTGAATAATTTTATATAAAGATATAAAGTAAATGTTAAACAATATAAACAATGATCACAATAGGCTCTTCATTCTTTACAAAAATGTTGTGCTTAAAATATTTAATGAAAAACTTATTTTGCAACATTTTTTGAGAATAGTTGAGGAAGAAATAATTAAAATATAAATTTTGCCTGTGCTTCACTCACGTTTTACGTCTATAACCTTTGTTTTAATTTTATATAATCTGTGTAAGCTATATAAAGAGTATTTGTCTGTGGTAGTAAAACATAATGATCTCTATTGAGCGGCCCCTGTCGGTAATGTTTAAAAGTATTCATCGACGTCAAACCAATCTTGTCAGTTGCACATAATGGCGGAGGTTGTTTTTTGTATGACTGTTTAAATTCCGGTAATGTCTTTTCGTATATCCTTCGAAACGGACGCGTGCTTTTTATTTCGTCTTCTTAAGTCCCTCGTTTCTTTAAATTGTTATTTCACTATTTTAAGCGGTGGCTACCTCCGTATTGACAATGTATTTTCCAGTCGCGCTATCAATGGTAATAAACTTATTGAATTAAAGTGTCAAGACAAAGTGTCGCATACCGGCATCGGGGTGAGGGTTGTGGCTCCCTACATCAAGAATGGGGGCCCAGCAGGCGAAGGAGCGTGGCTCAGCCAGTGGAGCTTCTATAAGATCGGCTCGAAACAAGCCGCGGGTGCCAAAGGATCCTCGCGTTCTTGGCTCAAACATTTTCACGGAACATAGTGGTGAGTCCTAAAAATTTAAATTCGAACCGGTGTTCTCATTTCAAGAATGTTATTTCATTGAGAATAACATTCCTCCATTCCAAAACATTTTCTCTTATCTTTTAAATGTACAATACGTTTTATATAATGATGTATATCATCTACCTATATACCTGCCATAAAACAAAAAACAATATTGTACATTAAGTAAATAAGCTGTGGGTTTTAAGCTGTTTATACATCTATAAAAAATTATAAATTAATTACTGAAATGGATTCTGAATTGCTTCTAAAAATGTGAAATGTAAATATAATTAAATATTATTCTAAAATGTGTTACTTATTTCTATTCATATCAGTTATATTTTCTAGTAACTATAGGGGTAGTGAAAGAGTTCTACATATTTAAACAATTTATTATGTAGGGTTAAGTTTCATTATGTTGCTGTTAAATATAAATTCCTAATATTGTTTCCTGAAATATCTTGTAGGCAACAACAAAGGGGAGTGCCCCATAAGAATTACTTTTCATATTGAAATCATTCATTTTTTATCTCATCATTGTAAGTACTTTGAGTTATAAATACTGCTTGTTTGATCATAGTTTTATGTCCTCATTAAAAGGGCTATATGTTTGTTCTTAAATTTCCTAGTATAAATAATAATTATTTTAATACAAGATGAGGTTAATAGCAACACATAATTTTAATTAAGATAAGATTAAATAATGTTATGAGTGATATACCTATATCTTGGTTATCTTATATCAGTTTAATAATTTGTGTCACATGGATTTTTGTTATTTCTGTACTCTATTGATGTGCAAACATCCTTCACCCAGTCTTTAACATCACAACTAACTTGCTTGTTTGAAATAATGTGCTCTGTTTCTCACTATTCAGCTTCTAAGACAATGTTTAAAAAGAGGATGCTTACACCCAAGCAAAGTCTATTGAGAGAAAGGTGTTGCAGTCAAAACATTTTCATTAGCTTATGTCTGTTTTAATGATATATTGAAACAGTAAATCAAATTTATTTAATATCAATCAATTACAGGATTATCATTTACAAAACATATATGAAGCTTTTCCTATTAGATTACTGTATGTAAGTAGTTATACAGTTAAACATATAATAATAATAATTAATTAATACTGAAGATTTAAAAAGGGTGATTTATAACAAGGTAAATTTACTATTATTTCCACACTTAAGAGAATAAAACTTCTCTTGTATAAATAGAAAAAACAGGTCATATAAATATAATGAAATGCAAAACTATTGAGTATATATTACATGCTAGCGTTTTTATATATATTTCTCACTGCACTGCTGAAGTAAACATTTGGCAAAGCGATGGAATTAATTTATTTATGCTTTTAAATCATTTATACACACTTACTAATTTATACCCCTCACAATTAAGCGAAAATCGTAAGTAGGCATATACCATAAAGAAATGTTACTTAATCAAATGACAAAATTAAAATAGTTCTCAATAAATACAAGTAATGTAATATCTCGTAATTTGGCCGGATTAGAGAATCTATATAATGAAATTTGTTAACTGTTTAAGCATTACTTAGGTATATTTAAAGAAATAATTTGTACCTACTAAACCCAGTATCAGCAATTCCATCAACAACATTTCCATCATATCAACTGATAAGCTATTGGTTATAAGGACTAAAATTTGCCGAAAAAAATTTATGTATTTCATCTTTCAATGACTATTAATAACACATTGATGTATTGCCTTTTACAATACAAACGAGTTTGTGTCAGTGTGTTTGTATGTCCTATACTACTTGATTGATGCACATTGAGTCTTATGGTTATAAAAGACATGGTTATTATATTGCAGAACAGATAACCCTCGCTTATATACATACATCTATATGTTCTCTATTTCCAAAGTTATTGATTGCTTGCCCACTATATGAATCGCTATGATAATTTGTTTTCAATGTTTACCTATTTGACAGTTGAGGACTGATAAGCATTAGGATATTTGGGAATGTGAAACCCCCCATTTTGCCTCTAATTTAGATTTTGGACCTTTGGAAATTTACATACTGTCTAACAGATTGTAGGAAAATAGTTATCCAACAATTATCAGAATCAAATCGCTATTTATGTTAATTTTAACAAACTCATAAACCTACCTCCTACACCTACATTAATTAAGGAATAAGTTATGAGTTTATTCCAGGGACAATCTCTTGTTCTCTGAAAGACCTATTGTTAAATATTATAAAAAACATCTAAATTCTGCAAGATTTTTCCTTTAGTTTTATTTATAAGAGTTTTGTTTTCGATAGTTTTTATCAAATAAGTCAGCCAGAAACGAGTCTAACAACCCTATTACTACTAACTAGTCCCATATAATGTATACATATAATAAAAATGTAACCTATTGCTATCTCTACATGGGTAATATACGATAATAAACAATACTTGAGACCTTTATCAATGCAATAGTACTAAAACTGTGATCTTTGGAATTAATTTCTGTATGTCTGTGCACACTAATCTCAGAAACGGCTCTTCTTATCTGGGTATGGTTATCAATAATATATATTCTATTATTGAGGCATTAAATAAATTGAATTTCATTGATTACATTGGTGTAGGTTATGCATTTTACAATTAACAATTAAGAAGCATAGCGTTATGTTTAATTTAGTTTAGGTTAATTGCTTACAAGTTATATTAACATGTTTTAATTTACATATTACTTGACGTCACTATGGGCTGGCTACATTAGTTTCATAAGGTTCTATTGATACTTAACTACTTAAACTCTACCACAGTATTGAGATCTCTCTTTGATGTTTTCAATAATGCTGCATAAAGTCTTCTAATACACGCGGATGAAGTCGTGGGCACAATTAGTTTAATACTATATATCATAGTAAAAAAGGTATCATATTACATACACTTAGTTATATTAAATAGTCTCGATATATTGTTTATCAGAAAGAACGCATTGCAGCCTTCATTGCGTATGTAGACGCTCGGACAATGGATAGTTGCGTACGGGCCTATCAATGTCATTATTCCTATTTGTTACCCGACTATACAAAAGCAGAGTTATGGTTTTTCATTTATGTTTATATATTTTAAAATTGTACCAATATAGCAGAACAGGTAACGTGATAAGTAAAGGAACACATGTTATGTATGTGGAGAATTTATTTAATTACAAATTGATTTCGAGACAATTTAGTTTGCGGCTTTATACTTCAACATCGTGCTACTTACATGGTTTTCTCTATTTCCATTACTAAATTAATTTTACCAGTCACTTAAGTTTTGTTTTTATCAAAATAATGATTTATAATTTGCGTAATAAGTATCACAAGATATTTTACTGCACATATGCACAATGTCGTCGTGTATCGTAAAAATAGTGTCGGTAAAATAACGTTTTTGAAAAATCGAGCTGGCCAAATTCAATTTGAATCGTCCCTTTGAAATGAAATTTTGTCTGGCGTATGTAAACTCAATAGAACTATGAAACGACATCCTAGTGCCTAGTGCATATTCCGTATTATTTATTATTTTTTAACTACCTGTGTCAGCGACTTCGTTCGCGTATTTTGTACATCCAGATTTATTTTTGCTCTTTATCCTTATACAATTAAGCTAATACCCACGACGTCGGTCTTGCAAGTTAATTTTGAAGACATATAGGGTGTACAACATTTTTTAAAACATTTAAAGAGAAATTATTCTTTCATACATATTTTTGGGTATTTTGAATCGTTGTCGCAGCGTACGCCTCGAACACACACACACCTCGTACACATTTACCACTGTTTCTTTGCTTCTATTACATGTCACAGGGCGATGTTATAGCCTTACTCGATAAATATTCTAACCAACAAATAATGTTTCAATTCGACCTAGTAGTTACTGAGATAAGCGCATGCAAACAAACTCTTTAGCTTTGTATATTAGTAGAGATAAATAAATCTTTCGCAATCGAGATCGTTATTAACCTAGCGTTAGCTACCTTATGTTCTCTTTTCTTATTTCAAAATTAGAAATATCATTTGTGAAACACAGTGAAGCCATGGAATCTCAACTGCCTCCTTTATTAATAATGCAGAGATCTGAAACAATCGCTTATCCGAATGGACTGAGCAAATTAAATTTAATCTAAAGCCTTATTTTTATCAGATAAGTTATAATAAACTGATTCCTATTATTGAATTTCCACTTTTATAAGTTGCAAAGAGCTTATCTGCCTTTAAGATTTAATCTTAGATTATTAGTTTTTCCTCTAATGCAGCCTTTATCTCGGATTGCTGATGTCTTACTTTAAATATTAAAATGTTATTTATAACAATTATTCTTCCGGTAAATTGATAATCGATTATAAATTGAAAAGAATTACGACTCGGACAGGACTTAACCGAAATCCTCCGCGTTCCGTGCTAATTGTGCTACCGAGTCCTACACGTTATTGTCGATTTTTTTTAACTTATTGATTCATCCACCTCTCGCGCAATGTTCAACCTTTACACTTGCGTATTCAATGTCTTATCCTTTGCTTAAGAAAATCATTAAATATGAAATTACAAAGTTATAACATTTAAATCGATTTTAAATTTATATAGTGATATCATGTAAAAATATTAAAGTTGAAAACATTAATATTTTTCACATGTTATTGCACATAAAGGCACTATATAATTTAAAAATCGAAAATATTTTTTTTTAGAGCAACATCAAGGATAGCTGACGATGCCGGTTCAAGTCCTGCCCGAGTCGAAAATTTTTTCAATTTATTTTCGATTTTTATAATAATTTTTCTTAATCTCAAAAAATTTGTAGCGCACCTAACTTAGTTAAGGATTCAGAGTATCTAGAATAGCGGTCGTCATCGTGAAAAAGTTTCAGTTAAATATTGCAGAATACACGTTGTAAATTGTTATCCTCAGTTTTATTATATTATCGATCATTCCCAACACATTAAAATACTTAATCGATTTATAATCGTAAGCCGTCGATGT